TTACACCATCAATAATTCACACCTGTCCGTTCATTTTTGTTTAAAATAAATGTCATGTAAATTTCACTTTTAAAGTGACACGTCCACATTCCGCACATTACTCCGCAGCTCCGTTCGCACTTCGTACTGTACAAGGAGTCTGAATTCAGCACAGAACATGGCTTTAAAAGAAGGTGCAGCACTTCAGCAGACCTCCGGTTTGCTTCTCACCTCCATGTTGTGTTTAGCTTGCCCCAGGAAGTACACGATAGCCGTGGAGATGATGGTGTTCATGCTGATGAAGAGGTTGATGCACACGTAGCAGATGAAGGCCATCTCTGCGTCTTTGAACAGGGTCGAAACCAGGTACATCCAGGGGAAGCTGGCAAATCTGTAAAAGAGCCACGGGAATTCAATTAACCCGAGCACAAATCGTGCCTGAGGAAGTACAAAAGGAGGGAAAAGTAGTGAGTAAAAAAAGGGGGTGTAAAGAAGGGAGAACGTTCAGGAGCCAAGCTGAGAGACGCTGAAGATAAATGACTTCATCTGGCGAAGCTTTTCTCTCGGCTTTTTGGAACGATCCGCTTTTTTTTATTCATTGGGGTGGTAAAGGATAGAGGAAAGAGAGCGGTGTTTATCTCTGTGTGAGGGAGAAATCACGTCTACGGACCTTAGGTAAAAAGAAAATCAAGAACAAGGATCAAACTCGTCTGAAATAATCCAGGCCGTGGTGGCGATACAACCACAAGCTTTTATTTATAGATTAAACCCTTCGTATCTCAGTCTGTTTATGATTAGTCTTGGATGTTGCGGGGCGACCGCCGTCCAATACGAGCCCCCGTCAACGAGCTGTCACTATAGAAACGACAACGTATTAGAACGAGCGCATTGACCAATCCGAATCTAGAATTAAACAGCACTGTGGTACAAATATTTTTGAAATGAGTCGACCGAGTCTGTAACACACAACGCTTGTCCTTCGTACAGAAACTCATTTAATCACGTTATTATGCCGTGTACGTTTGGGGTGTGGTTGAAGATGGGGTTGGGGGGGTCAGTGGAAGAGTCTGCACTATTTAACAATGTGTACACGACGAGAACGGTTTCCTACAGCCGCGCCTTTTTCCCGAGCTGAAAGTGTGGAGTCCGTCTTCGTTACCGCACCACGACGTTCCGTGGTATTAAATGTAACTATAAATGGATAAAAAGCATGACCTGTTTTTTTGAAATTTTTTTTTTAAATATTAAGCTTGTGAAAATTTAAGACTGACCCAAAGAGTATGAGGAGCAGCGAGACGGCCCCCAGGTTGAGTCTGTCAGTGAAGGCAGGAAGCTGGAACGCTGCAATCGTGATGATGGAGAGAACCACAGGAATCATGTACAGGGCCTGGAGAGAGAGAGAGAGAGAGAGAGAGAGAGAGACAGCGCGAGAGACAGACAGATAGAGAAAGAGAGAGTGAGATATAGAGAGAGAAACAGAGACAGGGAGAGAGAGAGCGACAGATAGAGAGACCGAGAGACAGGGAGAGAGAGAGCGACAGACAGAGAAAGAGAGTGACAGAGAGAGTGAGACAGAGAGAGAGAGAGAGAGAGAGAGAGAGAGAGAGAGAGACAGCGCGAGACAGACAGATATAGAAAGAGAGAGTGAGATATAGAGAGAAAACAGAGACAGGGAGAGAGAAAGCGACAGATAGAGACCAGAGACAGGGAGAGAGAGAGAGCGACAGATAGAGAAAGAGAGAGTGACAGAGAGAGTGAGACAGAGTGAGAGAGAGAGAGAGAGAAGAACAGCCGCGAGACAGACAGAATAGAAAGAGAGAGTGAGATATAGAGAGAGAAACAGAGACAGGGAGAGAGAGACGACAGATAGAGAGACCGAGAGACAGGGAGAGAGAGAGAGCGACAGATAGAGAAAGAGAGAGTGACAGAGAGAGTGAGAGAGAGAGAGAGAGAGAGAGAGAGAGAGAGAGAGAGACAGCGACGAGAGACAGACAGATAGAGAAAGAGAGAGTGAGATATAGAGAGAGAAACAGAGACAGGGAGAGAGAGCGACAGATAGACAGACCGAGAGACAGGGAGAGAGAGAGAGCGACAGATAGAGAAAGAGAGAGTGAGACAGAGAGAGTGACCGATAAAGAGAGTGAGACGGAGTGAGAGAGAGACAGAGAGAGAGAGAGAGATCTCAGGATTAGTTTAATGTCAATGTGAGAGAACTTTATATATGTATTTAGTTCATGTACTACAGCCCTATTCTAAACTAAAGTTGGCTCTTAGCAAGAACTTGAATTTGCATAATGAGAAGTCGACAAAAAAAAAAAAAAGTTAAAAAAGAAAAGTTCCTTTCAGTCACGTCGCAGAATAAAAATATCACAAATAAAACATTTCACAAATTTGCCAACAGAGAACTTCCTTAAATAGTCAAATTTGTCCGATTCCGTAGCGAAATAATCCTTTTCCTGATTTCTCGTTTCAGCGTCCTAATAATAAAACAATCTGCTGGCGACCGTGTCGAGTGAATAATCAGAATCCAGACAGTCTGTAAAATACCATCTCGTACCATATCGTAGAAGAAGTTGACGGTCCAGTAGAAAGGTTCGCTGATTCCTGATATGTGCTGCAGCCTCTTAGAGCCGGTGTGATGCTCCTGAACCTCGTAGATGACGAAGCTGGCTGTCATGATGGAGAACCCGGTGAGAACGCACATCGCCACCAGAAGGTTGACCAAGTTGCGAACACTGAGGGAGACATGGTTTACTCGGATACGGTAACACACGTTCGGATCCGCCTCTTTCAGATGATACAGTACACATCCGGATGCTGTGATACGATATGATCCACAAATCGATGCTACAGTTAGACAAGAACTTGGTGCCACAACCCAGATGGCTCGCTAAAACCTCTCTGGTGAGTTACGCCGTTATTTACGAACTAGATTTAAAAGTTGGTTGTGTGCGTGGTGGTTAGGGTGAGGGATAGGGGATAAGGTTTAGGGGTTAGGGTGAGGGTGTAAGGTGAGGGCTTAGGGTTTAGGGGTGAGGGCCTAGATTTAGGGTAAGGGGTTAGGGTGAGGCCTTGGGATTGAGGGTTAGGGTTTAGAGTTAGGGGGAGGTCTTAGGGTGAGGGTTTAGGGGTGAGGGCCTAGATTTAGGGTAAGGGGTTAGGGTGAAGCCTTAGGGTTGAGGGTTAGGGTTTAGAGCTTGGGTGAGGCCTAGGTTTAGGGTCAGGGGTTAGGGTGAAGCCTTAGGGTTGAGGGTTAGGGTTTAGAGCTTGGGTGAGTGCCTAGGTTTAGGGTCAGGGGTTAGGGTGAGGCCTTAGGGTTGAGGGTTCGGGTTGGGGAGGGCTTAGGGTTTAGGATGAGGGAAATGAGTTAAGGTTTAGGGGTTAGGGTGTGGGATAGGGGTTAAGGTTCAGGGGTTAGGGTGTGGGATAGGGGTTAAGGTTTAGGGGTTAGGGTGAGAGCTTAGGGTTTAGGAGTGAGGGCTTAGGGTGAGGCCTTTGAGTTGGGGGTTAGGGTTAGGGGGAGAGGTTAGGGTTTAGGGTTAGGGTGAGGGCTTAGGGTGAGGCCTTTGAGTTGGGGGTTAGGGTTAGGGGGAGAGGTTAGGGTTTAGGGTTAGGGTGAGAGCTTAGGGTTTAGGGTTAGGGTGAGGGCTTAGGGTGAGGCCTTAGAGTTGGGGGTTAGGGTTAGGGGGAGAGGTTAGGGGTTAGGGTTTAGGGGTTAGGGTGAGGGTTTAGGGTTTGGACTAGTTACTCTATGCGGCCTTTTCGTAGACAGATCTTCTGATCCAAACTGTTATTTCTTTACACCCTTATCCAATTAAAAAAGCGGTTACGGGGCAAAAACATTGCATTTCTTTTTGTTGTTGTTGTTGTTGTTGTTGTTTTTAATAGAACTTGTATATAGCGTATAGAGGCATGACAAGTTTGTTTGTATGCCACACTTTGTTTACAGGGTCATAGGAGAAAAGATCAAATAAAAGAATCAATGAACGTAAGATTTTAGGTCATATTTAAAATTGTCTGGAGTTTACATCTCTGATATTCTTCCAAAATGTCCACGAGAGTTCTGCAGAGTTGGGTCCTGGGCACTCGGTCTGTATTTTTAAAGAGCTACCTACAGGCGTACTTCCTCCCTCTGGCCTTGCTTTCTCACTATTACTCTTCCACGAGGGCAAGAACGCGGACAAAGGCCAGGCACGGCGAGAGCCCAGAACAAATGAGAAAATCGATCTAAAGAGCACGAGCGGCCTCCGCGCGGCGGAGGTGAACATTTCGCACTAATGCGAGCGGGGTTTGTAATAGCAAAGAGCGATGATGCTGAAATATGGGGAAAGGAGAAGAAAAAAAAAAAAAAAAACAGATGGAGAAAAACACGAGCTTGAGAGGTTGTTTATAAAATGACTCGGGTTTTCCCTGATGGGATGAAACGGAATAAATGATAACGATGTTAGTGAGAGAGCTTCTTTTACCGCATCGATTTTAAAAGTTAAAAAAATAAAAAAAGAAAAGAAAGAAAAAAAAGGATACCGGTAACGCTGCTTAAAATGAAGCTCATGAAAACATTCATAACAATTTCCATAATGCAGACAAATTTTAAGGTTTGGAAATGGAGTCAAGATTTATACCTTGTAGTACAACTTAATTCCTTATAATCTACTGTACATCCTTCTCTTCTGTGCGTATTTATTCACACTCAGACCTGCTAAGCCGGACACGTTGCCATACGTTTTAAATACGCTTTTATTACGGTAACCGTCGTTTATTACGTTAAGACGTAAACACTGGAAAAGTGTACTTTCTTTCTTCCTGTTCGAGGGAACATATGTTATACGTTATGGCCATTAATAATAGTGTGCGCGTCAATATTTCTGGTTTCTAGAACCCAGTATATTCACACGCTCCAGTTTCTATGGCAACAAGCTTGACCGTGCTGTTTGAACGTTAATCACTTCCTAGTTGTCATCACCACCATAAGGGGAAAGGGGGTGGAGCTTGCATCACGTCAGCTAAGATCCAGATCCAGCGGCAGTGGTGGCTAAGTGGTTGAGGCTCGGGTTACTGATCAGAAGGTCGGGCGTTCAAGCCCCAGCACTGCCAGGCTGCCACTGTTGGACCCTTCGAGCAAGGCCCTTAACCCTCTTTTCTCCAGGGGGCGCTGTATCATAGCTAACCCTGCACTCCGACCTCAACTTCCTGACATGCTTGGATATGCGAAGAAAGAATTCCACTGTGTATATGTGATAAATAAAGACTCTTTATCCGTTTCGCCGATGGGGCGTTTTTATTAGACGGGAAATAATTTCAGAGGTAAGTCGTGCTAGCGGTCTCTGAAGGTTAAAATTTGTCTGCAGCCTTCTCTTCATCCAAAATGTGTCCGGTAAAATCATTTCGTTTTCGATTATGCTTTGAAAAGCACCAGGTGAGTGACGTCGCATGCGCTAACCTAGAAACCACCTTGAGAGGATGCAAATATTGCACCGGGCCGGTAATCGATAAACGGAACTCAAAGCAGACCCCGTTTAATACGGTGAAAGAGGAGTAAATACAGCAGTCAAATTTCATTACTGCAAGTGCTTGGCTGGAATGAAAATGTCCACACGCTGCTTGCATTTTTACCACCCCCGAGGCATTTGCGTCACTTCTATGAGCTGCATGTGTTAAAGATTAATGTCTGACAAATGAAGAATGAACTACATGCTTACATGGCATCCTCTTCTTCCACTTGGCCAGGGTAGGGGTGGCTGGACAAGGAGATTGCTGCATGCAAGGGAAAGAAAGAAAGAGGAAAAACGACAGGATTAAATTGCATGCCCAATTCACATTCACACAACGGCGGCCTGAGAAGCGTCACGAGCGAGCAGGGCAGCTGGCCTGATGAACCCTCGCTGGATTTATGCCCCGTTTTCAGGCCCGAGTGAGTCCACCGGCTACATTTGAATGATTGCATCTCCCTTTTCCCTTATTGACTGCTTGGTCTGCATTAATCTTGCCTACAGGCAGACGGTGAATCTCAGCCACTGGCCCAGTCTGGCTCTGCTGCTGAAATAAAAGGTTGGAGCCTCTGTCCTGCTTTATTCACTTCAACCTGGCTCTCAGCACCACTAATTACAATTCCTGACACTGCACTGCATCCTGACAGTGACGGAAGATAAACACTGCCCCCTGGTTTAGCACAAGGGAAATGCACAGCAAAATCAGGAGAAGTGAATGAAGACGGACGAAGCACGGCGTGGATGATTTCACATTTGTAAACCAAGCTGGAAATGCTGAGCAATTCTCATAGATTTAGCACTGAAATATCAAACAACCCCATAACACTTTACATTGAAATTTAAGTCACTACTTTCGCCACTCCAGTACACCAGACTAAGCGTACGGAAATGTTCAGCTTAACTCTAACTAATAATAGCTTTCTTATTTCAACAAAATGGTGCAGTAGCACTCAGCTCGCCTGCAAAGACAAAAGTCAGGGCTGTACGTTTCCTGTTCCTGCAAATAGTAGCTGTAAAAGTAGGAGGAGCTTGTCTGTAGGTTGTCAGGTGACAACCTGGCAACCTACAGACAAAATATAGGAACAGTGCAACAAACCCCCCCAAGAGTAAACTTTTACGTAATGGCTATGCGGCACCGACATACAGTAAAGGGTGCCAATACTTGAATCTTTACTTAAAATTCAGAGTAGCAAATTTTTAAATAATGACTGAATGCCACCCAAAGACAGTCAAGGGTGCCAATATTTTAATTGTTTGTAAGAAAATACACATAGGAAAACGTTATCATTTCTTTATATCTTTGCTGAAAATACAGAGAGGAACTTTTAATTAATGGCTATATGGCACGCAAATACAATCGTGGTGCCAATACTTATCATCCTTCGTGAAGATGTGTGGGGCCAACAAACTTTTTTACTTGGCACCCAAAAACAGGTTTCAATGAGGGTGCCAATATTTTAATTGTCATTGAAAAAATACAGTGTAACAAATTTTTATTTAATGGCATCCAATGTGGCATCCAAGTACAGTCAAGGGTGCCAACACTTCAAATCTTTAGCAATCTTTAACACAGGGAAGTACATTTACTTAACGTTCGGGTGACACTAATATACACCCAAGGGTGCCAATTTTTTCACTGAAAATACAGGGTAGCAAAACTTTTAAGTAACGGACACGTGACACCCAAATACAGTCGAGGGTGCCAATACTTTACCTGTTAGTTTAAAAATACAGGGACGCAAGCTTGCATGTAATGTGTTCTAGCGTGTGTACTATAGTGAATGTGGTGTGTTATAGCGTGTGTACTATAGTGAATGTGGTGTGTTATAGTGTGTGTACTATAGTGAATGTGGTGTTATAGTGTGTGTACTATAGTGAATGTGGTGTGTTATAGCGTGTGTACTATAGTGAATGTGGTGTGTTATAGCGTGTGTACTATAGTGAATGTGGTGTGTATAGCGTGTGTACTATAGTGAATGTGGTGTTATAGCGTGTGTACTATAGTGAATGTGGTGTGTTATAGTGTGTGTACTATAGTGAATGTGGTGTTATAGTGTGTGTACTATAGTGAATGTGGTGTGTTATAGCGTGTGTACTATAGTGAATGTGGTGTGTTATAGCGTGTGTACTATAGTGAATGTGGTGTGTTATAGTGTGTTACTATAGTGAATGTGGTGTTATAGCGTGTACTATAGTGAATGTGGTGTGTTATAGCGTGTGTACTATAGTGAATGTGGTGTGTTATAGCGTGTGTACTATAGTGAATGTGGTGTGTTATAGTGTGTGTACTATAGTGAATGTGTGTGTTATAGCGTGTGTACTATAGTGAATGTGGTGTGTTATAGTGTGTGTACTATAGTGAATGTGGTGTGTTATAGTGTGTGTACTATAGTGAATGTGGTGTGTTATAGCGTGTGTACTATAGTGAATGTGGTGTGTTATAGTGTGTGTACTATAGTGAATGTGGTGTGTTATAGCGTGTGTACTATAGTGAATGTGGTGTGTTATAGCGTGTGTACTATAGTGTGTGGGGTGTTATAGAGTGTGTACTATAGTGAATGTGGTGTGTTATAGTGTGTGACTATAGTGAATGTGGTGTGTTATGGTGTACTATAGTGAATGTGGTGTGTTATAGCGTGTGTACTATAGTGAATGTGGTGTTATAGCGTGTGTGTACTATAGTGAATGTGGTGTGTTATAGTGTGTGTACTATAGTGAATGTGGTGTTATAGTGTGTGTACTATAGTGAATGTGGTGTGTTATAGCGTGTGTACTATAGTGAATGTGGTGTGTTATAGCGTGTGTACTATAGTGAATGTGGTGTGTTATAGTGTGTGTACTATAGTGAATGTGGTGTTATAGCGTGTGTACTATAGTGAATGTGGTGTGTTATAGCGTGTGTACTATAGTGAATGTGGTGTGTTATAGCGTGTGTACTATAGTGAATGTGGTGTGTTATAGTGTGTGTACTATAGTGAATGTGGTGTGTTATAGCGTGTGTACTATAGTGAATGTGGTGTGTTATAGTGTGTGTACTATAGTGAATGTGGTGTGTTATAGTGTGTGTACTATAGTGAATGTGGTGTGTTATAGCGTGTGTACTATAGTGAATGTGGTGTGTTATAGTGTGTGTACTATAGTGAATGTGGTGTGTTATAGCGTGTGTACTATAGTGAATGTGGTGTGTTATAGTGTGTTACTATAGTGAATGTGTGTGTTATAGTGTGTGTACTATAGTGAATGTGGTGTGTTATAGCGGTGTATACTATAGTGAATGTGGGGTGTTATAGTGTGTGTACTATAGTGAATGTGGTGTGTTATAGCGTGTGTACTATAGTGAATGTGGTGTGTTATAGTGTGTGTACTATAGTGAATGTGGTGTGTTATAGTGTGTACTATAGTGAATGTGGGGTGTTATAGCGTGTGTACTATAGTGAATGTGGTGTTATAGTGTGTGTACTATAGTGAATGTGGTGTGTTATAGCGTGTGTACTATAGTGAATGTGGTGTGTTATAGTGTGTGTACTATAGTGAATGTGGGGTGTTATAGTGTGTGTACTATAGTGAATGTGGTGTGTTATAGCGTGTGTACTATAGTGAATGTGGTGTGTTATAGTGTGTGTACTATAGTGAATGTGGGGTGTTATAGTGTGTACTATAGTGAATGTGGTGTTATAGTGTGTGTACTATAGTGAATGTGGTGTGTTATAGCGTGTGTACTATAGTGAATGTGGTGTTATAGTGTGTGTACTATAGTGAATGTGGTGTTATAGCGTGTGTACTATAGTGAATGTGGTGTGTTATAGTGTGTGTACTATAGTGAATGTGGGGTGTTATAGCGTGTGTACTATAGTGAATGTGGTGTTATAGCGTGTGTACTATAGTGAATGTGGTGTGTTATAGCGGTACATATTGTGGTGTGTTATAGCGTGTGTCTATAGTGAATGTAGTGTTATAGTGTGTACTATAGTGAATGTGGTGTTATAGTGTGTGTACTATAGTGAATGGTGTTATAGTGTACTAGTAGTAATTTATAGCGTGTGTACTATAGTGTGGTGTTATAGCGTGTGTACTATAGTGAATGTGGTGTTATAGTGTGTGTACTATAGTGGATAGTGTGTGTTATAGTGTGTGTACTATAGTGAATGTGGTGTTATAGCGTGTGTACTATAGTGAATGTGTGTTAAGTGTGTACTATAGTGAAGTGGTGTGTTATAGTGTGTACTATAGTGAATGTGGTGTTATAGCGTGTGTACTATAGTGTTTGTTATATGTTGCTATACTTTGTTATAATTTGTACTATAGTGAATGTGGTGTTATAGCGTGTGTACTATAGTGAATGTGGTGTGTTATAGTGTGTACTATAGTGAATGTGGTGTTATAGCGTGTGTACTATAGTGAATGTGGTGTGTTATAGCGTGTGTACTATAGTGAATGTGGTGTTATAGTGTGTGTACTATAGTGAATGTGGTGTTATAGTGTGTGTACTATAGTGAATGTGGTGTTATAGCGTGTGTACTATAGTGAATGTGGTGTTATAGCGTGTGTACTATAGTGAATGTGGGTGTTATAGTGTGTGTCGTGAATGTGGTGTTATAGCGTGTC